CACTCCCCGTTCGCGTCGCCTCCTCGCGCGCCTACTTCGCCATGCCCTCGCCCACCCCCTCCGAGAAAATCTCCCTCCAAGCCTCAAACACAGTCTACACCTACCACTGCCTCTGCAGCCACCTCCTCCTCGCCACCACAACACCACTCCCCTCCCTCCCAACCCGCACCCACTCCCTCGACAAAGCCCACATCATGCCGCTCCCCCCAACCCCGAAGCGGTCCTCCTCCTCCACCCAAACCTCGCCCGACCACTACGGCCTCCTGCTCTCGACGCGCCAGGACCGCAGCCCCGAAATCATCACGTCGGATTCTGGGTTCGAGAAGCGGTATCTGCAGCGCTGTGGGCGGTGTAACCTCGTTGTTGGCTACCATCTTGATTGGCAGCAGTTTTCGAGCGATTTGGAGGGTCGGCGCGAGGATTATGTGTTTTTGCTGCCCGGGGGGTTTGTTTCGACGAGGGATATGGTGGGTGGGGGTGGGGGTTTGGGCGCAACCGGTGCTGCAGGTGCAGGTGCGGTTGCGGATGGGTCTGCCGGCGCTGGCGGAGGCGGAGGTGGAGGCAGCACTACAGGCTCGTCCATGGGCACAGTCAGCGTGCAGGAAGTCAAGGTGTAAGGTGTAAGGTGTAAGGTGTAAGGTGTGAGATGTGAGATGTGAGATGTGAGATGTGAATGATGTCACACGCATCCATTCTCTCCCCCTCCTGGTTGACTTTTTTTTTCCCCGCCGGCCAACCAAACCAACAACACCACAACTTCCCACGTCCTCCTCGGACCGCGCAATTTCTCTGACTCCCTGGAGAGCCACACGAGTGCGTTGCAAGCATGTCGGCGCATAGGCTCCCCACTTCAGCCGTGCATAACATGCCCTTGCACTTTTGGTTCTTGTTCTTGCTCTTGCTCTTGCTCTTGCTCTTGCTCTTGTTCTTGTTCGAGTTCGAGTTCGGCCGCAGTCCAGTCCAGCGCTGCGCATCGCACCCTCGAAGCCAGCGCTGTTTCCACGCTTCAACGAGTCCCTTTTGCTTTTTTTTCCCTCCTCTTTTCTTCTCTCTTCTCACGGCGAATAGGGAGTTTTCTTCTTTTTTTTTCCTTAGACGGAGTTTTTTTTTCTTTTTTCTTTTCTTTTTTTCGCGGGATTGGTTGGCTGTTTTGGAGTGGTGGGATGGGATACTATGGTGAGCCAACCACGGGATACACAGACATCACACTTGCACAGACAGCTCGCACAGATAGAGATGCAGATATACCCCCTTGTGCAATAACAGATTACGTTTTCTCGTGTGCAATATACACGCGTATAGACATGCCGCGGCACGACTCCAATGAGACAAGATCGAACAACACACATTGCGCAGTTGCATGTGCAATACCAAATGTGAACGTGCATGCATTTGTCCAGTGTTTAGATTGGCCAGGATGATGTGTGTCTAGCTAGTACTTGCGTCTTCTGTCCCTCGTACTGCAACTTTGGCTCACAGCTCGACCCGAGACGCCCTCGACGAGCCCGTAAGAAAACAAAAACCCCCACAATTTCAAACGCCGGTATCTGCATGCGCAACTTGAACCATGACCCCGTTTCGTGCATATCGCGTAATCAAGTATCGACAAGGTGAGGAGGGAAAAGGAGGAGAGAGAGAGAGAAGTACAAAGGCGGCTGTGTGATGAGCGTCGATGCCCCTCAAGTCCTTAATTCTCCGCAATCGTCTTTACAAACTCTGTCATCGTATTAGCATGCAGCCTCACCCACCCATTCAACCTCCTTGTCGTTGTCGAGGGGAAAACGGGGGAAAGAAGGAGCAAAACATACCCCGGTAATCGACCTCGTTATTACTTGCATCAATCGTGCTCTTGAACAACTCGTCCACCTCCTCCTCACTCATCTTCTCGCCCAGATTCGTCAATATGTACTTGATCTGGCCCTTGCCGACAAAGCCCGAGCGATCCTTGTCAAACACCTGGAAGCCGCGTATGTATTCTTCAATGTCAAAGGGTTCGCGGAAGCCGCCGGGGCGGTTGAGGATCTTGGAGAAGGTCTCAAAGTCGACTGTGTGTTGGGTGGCAAGTTAGCGGTTTGGGTGTGCGCGGGTTGCTGGCGGTGCGGGGGAGTGTGGATTGTGTGTGAGGGTTGAAATGGGCAGACATACAGTCGTTTCCAACGCCGCGCTCCAAATCGGTAATCTCAGCCAGTGTGGGGTTCTGGCCACATGCGCGCAGCAGGTCGCCCAGTGCGCCGCGGTCGACACGGCCGTTGCCGCGCTTGTCGAAGAGCTGGAAGGCTTCGCGGTAGTTTGTGGAGGCCTGGTGGTTGTTATCCATTGCTGTTCTTTCTGTGCGCTGTGTGATGTTGTGGGGGGTGTATATGTGTGTGTGTGTGTGTAGAAGGGATCTCGTGAGGTGGAGGTGTGGGTGTGGGTGTGTATGTGTAGACGTGTGCGTGGATTGGGCGTGTTTGGCTGCGAAAGCGAGTTCTGCTGTGTCGCACAAAGGGCTCCCTCCCAGGCAAGGCATGCCGTTTTCGCTAACCCGGTCGTCGCTGCCCTTTTGCCGTCGAGCGCAGGGCACAAGCGGAAGGCAGCTCCCTGACGAACCTTCCCTCCCTACCCTGACCGGCTGGCCAATGAGTGCGACTGGCGGGGCCACGACATTCGTGCACACGCAAAGAGGACGAGGAGGGGTAGTGAGTAGAACTCCTACTTACCATTGTGTGCGTGTAGGTACGTGTGAGGGAGTGGGTGGTTAAGGAGGTTCCAAAAGATGGAAATTTTGCAGTTGTTATGGCCAAAGTCTCGGTGTAGGTAGGTCGGTCGGTCTATGGGATCAACGAGTGGATTGGGGAGGGGGAGACTGGTTGTATGCACACTGAGCCTGGGCCGCTGTGTCCTCCAAGCGCTGCCTCTTGCCCGCCAACTTGGCCAGCCGTTGTCCTGGTAACGCGTTCGGGAACAGGATCACGACCACGACCACGACCACGGCCACGACCACGACCGCGACCATGGTTAGCTGGCCTACACATAGGGAACCCCATCTTCACACTCTTCTTGGGTTTGACCAAGACATTTCCTGTTCGTCTCTACATCACCCAATAGGGCCAAG